AGCTTCAACTCAATTAGGCTATTTCTGGTGAAAATGATTTTTATTCGAATAAGAAATCATTTTCATATCAATGGCTTCGCACTTAGGCTCACATTGAAACAGTGGCTAAGGCAACTCAGAAATGAATATTTTTAATTAAAAAAGGGATGAAAGCCTCTGCTGGTTAAGTGTTGCTTATTGCTTCTTCATTCATAAGGGTACAAGTATAATTTTTTTTTATAGTGTACAAAATTTTATCATGGTCAAGTATAAAAAAATTTGTAATATCCAGAACTTAATTGATTTACCTACTTCTGTTTTCTGTTAGGTAACGCTTTTACACTGATGTAAACGATCCTTAAGTTTTTCCCATCTAGTTTAAATTTTGATAACTTGAAATTACTGTACATGTGTACATGTATTAATAAAACAAATCAAAATGTAATGGTTGTTTCAAGAGAATTGAAACTAATCGAAATTACTGTCAAAAGTATGTTTTCAGACAAAGACATACATGTACAATTTGTGACCACATGTTACCGTCCTTTAAATTCCACCTCAATGTTACATTTACATGGAACATTGCATGCAGTGAGCGTTGATCATTTTTATATTTTAGCCATTCTGTGATGGTAGACACAAAGCCACTCCAATCAGGCCGATCCGATTCGTTGCCGAGCAGAGTAGTACAGAGGTATTCCTTTGTGGCTGTAAGCAAACAGGCTCCCCGCCGTACTGTGATGGTACACACGCTACTGAGAGTGTGCAGTCTGCAGATATACATACTTGAAAAATCTTTTTTATCGATTGAATGTGGATTCTACAATCCTAAAAGACACAAGTGCTTCTTTTAGAAAAACTGAAGAACTCCATCGTCCTTTTTCCTCTTTTCTTGGGACCAAACAACCTAATCTATCCAGTCTCTGAATTTACGAGAGGTATTTGACCCCGTCAAATTCAGTAGCTAATTTATCAGGAGAGATTATAATAAATTAATGAATAAAGAGATCTTCCCGAAACAGGTCCTGTGATGTGAAAAGTAAAACCCTCAGGTTTTTTGTGAGAACGTTCATTAAAACTGCAATCATTGTATAAGCGATGTCCACGATAAAATGTAGTAGTTTGTCAGTACTGAAAGGTGAACAATTGCTTAATACAGAACTTAGGGTATCTTAGGGCTCGAAAAAAGCTCCGTTCAGTATTCTGGGGCAAGTAGATTTTCTATCACTTTCTTGCTGGCCAAGTAACTTTTAATGCTTACACGCCCAACGGGCAAGAATCCTAACAACTTATCCTCTTTAGAACAAAATGATTTAACTTTGACGAGTAAGAAGTGGCCACAGACGAGCAAACTGTGAGAGTTGGCTTGCCCAAAGGACATGCTTCACACTTACTGTACACATTCTTGAGAGTCTTGTCTTAAAAGTTCCTTCCGCGAATTTTTCTTTTTAGAAATAAATGGATCACGAATTACGTGTAGCTAAAGCTACTCGCAGTCAGTGTTTACAAATTAGAGGCCTCTGAACGTCCATCAATAATCTAAGAAACAATCCAAATTTTGCCCTCAATCAAATTACACTGCGAGCAGGCTCTTCTTTACTTATTTATTTACTGATTGTTTGCAAAGTTACTCCATGCATAACTCATGCACTTGAGCGGGCGAGCGGCGAAGCCGTAAGCCGCGATAAACGAGGACATAAGCGTCTCGTCTTAAGGTGGCTCGATACAGTTTTCGAGGGCCAATACCTCCCAAGTTTGAGCATAAACTACGTGGCCATAAACAAAGTTTTGAAAAAATTGCCACCACAGTTGTACTAGATAAAGATGAAAATTTGTTGTGATCAGGGTTGCAACGACATCGGAGTTGTCATAGCAACGAAATGACGCTATTACTTCTTTTACTTACAGCAGTATATATCGGCACTGGGAACTGTTCTTCCAAAATCATTCACGGAAGCTTTTTCCTCCAATAGCTACCTCGATGTTCGTGAAGTTTAAGCGAAATCTGTAAGAGCGTTATCGAGATATTTTCGGATAAATATTTTGTGGTTAGAAATACGGTAAAAAATGGACAATCTCTATGTTCGGCTGTTATCTGTAGAAAACGAAGCACTTTTGACATGCAAATTCACCTCATAGTAGTTTCAATCTTTTTAAAAACGTGTGTGAAAGATCATGGAGATAGCTCCAGCCGATTGCTAGAAAGAAAGATTTGATTAGTATGTATCCAGGCGCTCTTGTTAGTGGTTTTTGAATATTTTGGTCTACATTAACAAACTAGCAAATACATTTTTAAACCGCTCGATAGATTTTTTTTTAAATTTAAGATTCTTAAGATTAACCTTCCTTTTATATGACCTTTTAGTTTCAAGATTATTGATATATTGTAAGGCAGTAAAATAAGGGCTACAATTCGCTAAATTTTGGCTGAAATTTTGTGTTTACAAGTGTGAGCTTCTCATTATTCAGGGTATTGTCTCCAAGTTTCATATTTTCGTGCACAACAATAGCTAGCATTTTTGCATATGTCAAATGCATTGTTAGTTACTGTTGTTCACGTGAAAATGAAACTTGGAGACAATGCCTTGAATAATGAGGGGCTTTCTCTTGTAATGACGAAACTTTCGATAAAAAAGTAGCGAATTGTAGCCGTTATTTTACTGCCTTACAATGTATCAATAACCTTGAAACTAAAAGGTCATATAAAAGGAAGGTTAATCTCAAGAACCCTAAATTTTTTAAAAAATCTATCGAGCGGTTTAAAAATTATTCGCTAATTTGATAAAGAAGACCAAAATGTTTGCAAAACCGCTAACAAGAGCGCTTCGATACATAGTAATCAAACCCTTCTTTCTAGCAATCGGTTGGAGCTATCTAAATGATCTTTCACACACGTTTTTAAAAAGATTGAAACTACTACGCAGTGAAATTGCATGTCAAAAGCTCTTCATTTTTTACAGATATCGGCCAATCAACAATATTGTCCATTTTTTACTGTGTTTCTAGCCATAAAAACTTCATCCCAAAATATCTCGATAGCGCTCTAACAGATTTCGCTGAAACTTCACGAACATCGAGGCAGCTATTGGAGGAAACAGCTCCTGCGAACGATTTTGGAAGAACAGTTCCCAGTGCCAAGATACACTGCCGCAAGTAAAATAGGTAATAGCGTCATTTCGTTGCTATGACAACTCTGATGTCGTTGCAACCCTGATCATAACAAATTTTCATCTTTATCTAATACAACTGTGTTGGCAATTTTTCCAAAACTTTGTTTATGGCGACGTAGTTTATGCTCAAACTTGGGAGGTATTGACCCTGAAAAACTGTATCGAGCCACCTTAATCCCCTATTGTAATGTCGTTGTTTGCAATCGCGCTGGCTAAAATATTACGAACTGGAAGGATTTTAAGAGAAAAGGCGGACTGCTAGCAGTCTGTCTACAATCCAATGCTTAAGGGTGATAAAGCAAACACTGAGGGAGTCTTAATTTTTTCACTATTTTGCTCAAATGTTTGCGGGTTAGTACCTGCGCAAGCGCCGAGCGACGACGCCGGAATAGAGACGCGAAAAGCAAGGGTAACAGCCCGAAGCGAAATATTGCGCCTTAAATGTGAAACTTAGAAAATCATAATAGCAACGGCATGCGTAACAACCAGCGGGCACACGGTCACAGGTCATCATCCCGTTTGTCTACAAACGACCAGGTCTAATTGTTGATCAGATATACCTTTGAAAGGGGGTACCAAGGTTCAACTGGTCCTAGGCTAATAGTGCATACTCTGTATTAGAGAGGATAGCTATAGCGGTTGATGTTGGAGGCATGCACACATGTAAGCCATTCTCGACTGTCGTAAGATTATATTTGTCGCGATTGACGAAGAACTAGTACGGCTCTTGGGTTCTTGCGAACAACCGTGCCTTCGGTGACGGGAATGATGTGTAATCGTAGTATCGTAAACTGGATAGTGATTTATCCGGCGGAGGACAGCGCTATCCACCCTTTGAACAACAAAGGCCGTGTAACAAGATTTAAGTCAAGAGATTTTCAACAAGTTACTGGGTTTATATATGTTGCTTATGTTTAATTCCCCTTCGCCTAGCCAGTCTTAATGGAAGCAGACTGTGACAAAACTTATCAGAAACATCCGACATTGAATAAGGCAGCCCTTGTTCAATAAGTAAATTGCACACACACTTTTAAAACTTACAACATCAGCGAAAAACATTTATACTTTATACTATTGTGCAATAAGCCTTTCTGTTAATATTTTCTTAGTCCATTATCTTAAAAAATATCTTATATAATTATTAAAATTGCAATCGCCGCCGCATACGAAGTGTAAAAAATTTCACTCTTGCAATAAAAGTTAAATGTTTCAACAAAAAAAATAGCTAAAACCGTTTCTGATGACGGGAACATTTTTGAAACCTTGTAATAATCCTATTTAGCGTTTCTGTAGGAAACGTATTGCCCAGTCAAGTAATACTCTACCATACTACTTAATATCATAGTAAATCTTCTATTTTAACCAGTTATTTCTGACGTTTGAAAAATGAACTGAAAACGACGCTTTATAATTTGCTGGATTGTAAAGTTAAATTTTCAAGTACAGTGGAAATCTCCATGGGAGATATTAAGGCAAGTGAAAAGTGGCCGAGTCGATCGAGTTGTTTTCTTCTTTTCTTGATGTTCGAAACAGTGGGGCTAAATTTCAAGCCACTTAAAGAAAATGGCTACTTTTTTTGTTCTTGTCAACGCCAAGTTAAACTATTGTCTCTCCCTGTTAAAAAATGAAGCTCCATAGATTCCCCAAAACAGCAGCCTGCGAAACAGCCGACACATTGCTACACTACCCGACTGGTTTTCCCACCACAAATCCCCGTACTGATGACATATCACTACCCCGATCTGGGTGGCTTCTGATTGGTCGTGCCGCGTGGGGAATTTATTTCAACCAATAAAAAAGCACTACCCAGATATGGTTAGTGACACGTCATCAGTACGAGATTTTTATGCTCGTTCCTCAGACGTAATTTTGCGGGAAATCCAGTGCTGTTTTCTCTGGCTACCGTAACAGTTGTTAACGCGTTAACCGCCTACGTCTATGAGTATTCCATACAATTCAATACCGGAAAGAAAAATACTAAATCTCCCTGAGGAATTCTTGCCCGTCTGAAAAATCCTAAAATACCGAAAGGCCCCCAGTTCTCCGTCGACTGGCCATGTGGCTGTGTAGTAAGGGAAAGGATCCTTGAGCCCGCGATCATTGTCATGCTTTTTCAGTGTCTTCCAAATACGTCCATCAAGCGACCCTTCTAGGCGCCAGTTACGAACGATTGACATTCCATTGTCTCTCCCATGTCTCAGGGAGTAGTGGGTGAGATATAAAGCGTATTTTTCCGTTAAGTCCACACACCACCATGATTTGTCTTCGTCCTTTGTTCCACTTAAGCTTCCTCTGCGATTTTCAAGCAGATCAATTGCGTCACTGTGCTCATCATGATCAGAGGAGCGCGTGGCGATTATTCTTGTAGGAGAGGCGCTGGTACCACCGGGGTTCACCCATGGAGTTGTACCAAAGTTTGTTCCCAGGGCATAGAGAACACCGTGTCTGTCGAAATCTTTTCTGTAGTTTAAAACGCCTGTGTTAATTGAAAAGGAAAAAAGGATCTGCATTAGCCAATGTTTTCGAAGTTAACATAGATAAAATAAGGAGCATTAACCGAGGTCTGTTCCTGCAATGGGTCAGATTACATTCATCCTTTAGGGATAACCGGGATTTAATGTAGTCTACTACGAGGAACGTTGCGTGACAACACTAAAAACGGTTGTGTAGCAGACTAGATTTAATGCGGATCCAAGGTCACACGGATCAAATGGTGCATCAAATGTTCACATGAATCCTTGTCCAGATGGGATTCAAAAATCATCCCATGGCATAATTATATTGTCTATTTTCTACAAAACTCACCATAACAATATTTTGTTTCTCTTGGGGGGTGGGGGCATATGATCCACCAAGGGAGCAAAAGACAGTACACACAAAATCTCGAACTTGCGTCGTCTTACCTTCGTCTGGCCTTCTCACAGAAGTGCTTTTTTGAATCGCAAGTAGACAGAGCAAAAGTTGAAACAAACAAGAGCGCCCTCAAAAGTTTGCTTGCTCTTCATACCTAGGCTACCTGACAAGTGCTAATTTGGAGTCAAAATGGGACGTCTAATTGTGGTGGAATACAATGCGCCCTAATTTGCGTTCTGAGACGACCTTGGGCTCAATTTCCGCCGCGCTCTTTCGGCTCCGGTTTGATTCCGCACCAAGAAGAGAAGGGAGGCGCGCGGGCTCCTTTCCCGATCAGCGGCGGTTAATCAAACCTATCCTAGCCGAACAAATCTATTAACAGAACTGCAAACTTACGGCCTGGCATACTCCGCAACCTTTGAATTTCTTCTTTCAAAGTGTCGCACCTGGCGCGTTCCACGTTTGCGGCCTCGCGAAGTCGCGTAATATCTTCACGTTTGTCCGTTTCCTGATTGCTTAGTTCCCTCATCAATTTTTCCACTTCCTTTAATGCGTCTTTTTTTGCCTTGTTTTCAACCAACAGTTCTTCTTTCACTTCTTTTACCTTCTTTTTTTCACGAGACAAATTTTTCTTTACTTTAAGGAAATCTTCTTGGTGTTTCTCGACTTGTGATTTTTCCCTACTCAGTTCCGTCTTTATTTTATGAACTTCAGATTTGTGTTTATTTATTTGTTCTTTTAGTTCTTCGTTCTGCACTTGTAGATTTTTCATTTCCTGTAACTGCTGTTCTTTTACTCCACAAAGCATTTTTTGCAGTTCTTTCTCAAAGTCTCGTGATAAAGTTTCATGTTCTTCCTTCATGCTTTGCAATTCCTTTTGAAATGTTTGCCTTTCTCGCATATGTTCGTCCCCCAATATTTTGATGTGGCTGTTTATTTGCTTATTTTCCTCCTCCAACTTCTCTTTTTTTGCTTTGATTAGGTCTTTTTCAGTTCGCAGCAAGTTACATTCTTCCTCACGTTCGTCACAACGCGAGCAGTTCAGCCCATCTGCAAAGAAATAACAACTTATAACATCGTTTTTTATGCTAACACCATTGACAGTTTCAGAACCCACGCTCCTTAACTTTTGATTTAACATTTTCACAATGGTCTTGGAACTGGTTGGTGTTCTAGCACTGTTATTTGCTTTTTTGTGGTGAATATGATTTCTAATATGATAGCCTCAAATGAAAAGCATAGAAAAGTGGACTGATTTTTCGCAAATAAACCAAAGAAAAAACATTCGGCCACCGCAATTTCGCGCATTTTCCTCTACATATAAAACCTGCTTAAGCGCGTCACACTGACCCTCCCTTGCATTAATCTTGAAAGGTTTTTGCCAAGTCCATAGACCTCATTATTTGCGCGGTGCGCGGCTCATGGCATGCATTTCGGGTCACATTGGTCCTGCCGTTCGTAACGGCTAGGCGACCGAATCGCATTGGCCTAGAAGACCGGAGAAAACGCCATACAGGGACTGGTAGGGAGGTTTCGTCCCTTCAATTTCGTGTGTGTGTGTTTTTTCATTCGTTGTTTCTTTCATTTTCAGTTATGATTGAGTCATCTCCTTCTATTAAGAAACATTTCTCCCCCCTGTGCTAAACTCACCTTCAAATTCAAATTGCACTATCTCTCCAGGAGAAGTGGCCCTGTCATGGACGCTCGCACTGCGATGTGTTTCCATACTAGCAAGAGTTTCCTCGAGTTGTTTCTCTAATTCCTCGCATCTTCGTTTTGTTCCTTCGTTCTCTTTCACCACTCTAGCCAGATCCTTTCTTGTCTCTTCTAGCTCAACCGCTAGGTCTGCGCCATTTTTCAAAAATTTACTGTTCTTTTCCAAGACTGCATTCTCAGTAAGACAAAGGGGAGTGAGGACCCTCATTGGAGATTGATCAGAAAGGACAATTTCTCGTTGGCGAGAAATTGAGTGAAGATCATCGTGAAGAAATGTTTCGTTTAAAATATTGTTGTTGTAGTCTGACAACTTTCGGACCATCTCTTTGTGTTCTTTTGTTTTCTCATCCAGTGTTTCCTTGAGTTTGCGCAACTCTTTCTCCGTTCGAGACCTTGCTTCGTCTAGCTGGTCACACAAACCCCGTAAGCGCTCCGTCTCCTCGACATAAACTTCTTTTTCACTTCTTTCAGCCAATACCTGTTTTTCCAGTTCTTCAATTGTTGTCTTCAGTTGTTGAAGACTGCTCTCCATGAATTTCTTATCGTCTTCTCCTTTTGTCATTAACATTTTATTCATACTTTTTAGTTCCTCGCATTCCTTTAGCGTTTTCTTGTGATTTTGTCGTTCTTTTTCTAATTCCGTCCTCGTTATTTTAACTTCTTCCCTCAACCTCGCGCTACGTGTTCTGGCGCGGTTCAATTCTGTCTTGATCTCCTCCATTTCTTTAGAAAGAAGTAAAAAAAAATATCACGCAACATAATAAAGGCCTCTGCGATAAATAACTATGGACGCGGTCTCCAATAAACCAACAATGACCAGGTTTATTTACCTGCCCTGCCTATGTACGGGGTGATTTTGCAGCCTCACCACCAAAATGAGGCAACATATCATTGCCATCTTTCATGTAATATGAATCTCGTCAGGTTCGAAAAGCTCTGACTGGTGACGAACTTTTTTAATAACATTTTCGTTCATTTACCTTCCTCTGAACACAATAAAACCAATACGGGAGAGGATCTGTAAGGGTACGGCTTCGTTACATTACCAGCTACCGGTAGTATGAAATCAAGCGTCATGGTTGTTCATGAGCTTTTATTAAATGGAACGGGGTCCATGATAAATTCCTTCTTGAATCGCAGGGGGATCAGTTCCTGTCCAAAAATAATCTCTCAAGGGTCCCTGTACAGTTTGCACACCATCAGTAAAAGGTCTATGAAGCCTCGTAGAGGAAGATAAATGTAATAGTCGTTTTTGAATCAAGTATAACAACCTGGATCCTTTTTTAACGTTGATTTTCCCTTCTTTTATTATCAGTAAACCCCTATAATTAGGACAGAACAACGTCTAACAGAAAATGTGTTTACCTGATTGCTGAACTAACGGAGAAGCTAAATGTGGCTGGACTTCCTGCAATGCTTTTACAAAGTCTTCAAACGCCTTTGGCCCTCTCCTGGGTAGAATTTCTAACAGCTTATCACTCGCATCTTCTCGAGTAGCTCTCACTTTAATTTCTTGCTCATCTGTGACGTCTAAGACGTTCACCAACTGAGGTAACAACTTCACTGGCTCCAGATCCCTTCTGAGTGTGGACCAGTTTCGTCGCAAGATTTCTCGGTGTTTGTCATCCATGGCGCCCCCAGTCGTCCTCTAGTGTGACCAGATTTGTTCCTATAAATGATTCAAGTTTCTTTTAAACCCTGAAACAAGTAACTCTGTACGCGTTTTAGGAGACAAAATTCTGATGTCACTGAATGTTTGCAGTCACAAAAAACATCATAAAATCAATGAGGTATTGTTTTTTCGCCCTACTGTCGAAACAAGTACAATGTTTTTCAGGGTAAAACCATAAACGTAGCACGCAGTTGTGAGCTTCGACAAGGTCTTTTTCTTTCTACAGTTTGTATAATAAATATATTTCAAATAGTCATTCTAGCAGGTTGTGTACAAGTCTGTACTCTGCCTGAAAACTCGGCTTCTTATATTTGCAATGTACATGATTGTTTAAATTGAATTGAATTTTTATTTATTTGTTTATTTATTTAACATTTTTTACTTTTTTTTCTCTAGTCTCTCTTGTGATGTAGCTGTATGTATATCACACACGTGTAACCACTGCTCGCCTCGACTAGCTAATCTGCTTATTGCGGACAGTGGATATTGCTTTCTGTAAAATTTGCCACAATTAATAAACAGTTAAACAGTTATATGAAGTATACAGTTGAACCTAGCGGCCTGTTACCAACGCACTAAGAAAAAATTGACGGTATCCAGCAGCACCGTATCCTCTCGGCGGTATCAAAGGGGGTTGGATCTCATCAAAAAATGAGGTTTTCTTTACTCTAAGTCTTTATACTTTTCAATTAAATTTTAACACAAATAACAAGAAAATTGATTATTGGTCCTAAGGGGCTGTTTACATGGAGGTGGGGAACCCCAGATAGGTGAGGTAACATGCGGCGGGTCACCCCACCTATCATGTAAACGTGATCAAATTAAAATGAGAGAATATGTGGACAGGCGGGTTACCCACCAAAACGGGTTACCTCACCTACCTGGGGTCCCCCACCTCCATGTAAACAGGCCGTAAGATTAGTTAATCAGTGAAGTGTTTTTGTGTCGAAGTAAAATCGACTCCGTAAGCCGGATGTTGTTGTTTAAGATTTACTATGGACCTTCTTTCCACGTGATTGAATATATTGCCTAATATTGCACTTTCAGTCAATAAACAAGCGAAATGTCAAATTTTTGGGAGCTATTGTCAGTTACAAACACTGCAAGCTAATTTTCTTTTTATGGAGACAACAGTCCTTTGATTTTATCATCCGGTAGCGGTAGAGTCGGGGTTTTCCCTTAATTTATTTCAAAAAGAGGTAAAAGGCGCCTTTTTATTCTCTGTAGTGATTCGTCAGGTGGAACAAAAGTGGCTAGTATAGAATTTTTTTAAAAAAGGAACAAAAGAATCTGCATGTGAATATCTTTTAGTTTAATTGAATGTTGATTTCAATAGCTTTTGTGTTTTCTCAATAAGACCGTTCATTTGAACTGAAAGCTGTCTGGTTTTTTATATGACTTGTCAGGAGCCGATTAATCCTGGAGTTGTTTATTATTTCAAACGACTCAGCCATTTTTACTGAAAGTAAACTGTGTCCTTTTGTTAACTGACTACGACAGAGGGCAAACCTTATACGAATTTCTTTGTCTAAGCAACTTCATGCTGTTTGAAGAAATATATTCGCGAGGATGACTCAATTGATTTCATTGTTATTAGAATACTGGATACATTAAACGGTCCATTACAATCAAACCCGTATTTCACGAAGTTGAAAATCAAGAAATGTTTATGTGAAAGATCCGGCCAAAACTGAATACAAGTGTGTAAGTAACTTAGCCAATTACTCATGTTCAGAAGTTATTTGTAAACTCGACAGCGGCGTGCTAACAGCTTTGTATAAGAATGTTATATTTATGTTGATCGAAAACATTGTTCAAACCATTCTCGATGACAAGAGTAATTGAACATTGTGTAACTTTGCAAAGTGTAAACAAAGTTGTTAAAACTCGCCATGATGTAATTAAATATTTAAGTTGGCGTGAATTGGACTGGAGAAAAGGCGTCATGCGATCAGCTGCCAAAAGAAACTCGATCCTGACTATTTGGAGAGGAGAGATCACGAAAGAATCGAGAGAAGTCGAGGTTTAATGTCTGGATTGTGATATCGGCTAGTTCAAACAGTCTGCCAACAAAATAAGCAGGTTGCTTAAATAGTGTTTAACGTATCATAATAACAAAAGCTCCAGTTGTAAACCAACTTACATACCCGTCTAAATCTTGGCGGATCGATTGAGTAGTCAGTCTTCTCGGGTCTGGCAGGATCTGAGCCGAGAACTGAAGCCGTCAAACGTGATCTTCGTTCATTTAAAGAGCCGTAGGAATCCAAGACTGTAAATTATATGCGAATCACGTGCCCTTTCGTTCGAAAATAAGAAAACCATAAGGTTTTTGTCGAAGCAAAACAGAGAGAGAAGACAATTCCCCCTCTAAAGATATCAGAAAGCAGTTTGACCTTTTGGGTACCTTATACTGAATTACAATTAAGTGACGTAATGAGGTCTTTATAGAAGCCAATCAAATAGAGCTGAACTGTGTTCTCCGTTGCCATGACAAAGTTTTGAAATGAGCCCTTGCAATTCGCATTGCGTTTAAGTATAAGTCGAACGCCCTATATTTTGTTGCAGACCTGAATACTTTTAGTTAGTGGCATGCACATTGACGTATCTACCTTTTTGGACATTTTTAAATGTCGAAAGTATTTTCTACAAGTTTTGCTGATCTGATGTAGACAAGGCAGCGCAGACAGGCAGGAATACCAATGTCCGGCCCTGGTCCCTGGGAGAACTTGTGATCAGGTTCTAATAAGCACTTCTGATGTTTCAAAATTACTTTGACTTGCGTTTTTGTAAAGATGATTGGAAAAGTTTAATTGCAATCGATAGTTCCTCATCTGATCACAATTTAATAATAATGTCAGGTGTTTTGATCTGTCCAAGGATACATGTAGTACAGTGTTTGAACAGGCCTTAATCTCTCTTGTTGAGATTTGTGAACAAGAGTATGCAGTACTCGACGTTTGCCATATTAAACTCTTGACTGTACCAAGGTCAAAAGACTGATAGAATTTTTGCAGTTACACTCTTTTTTTATAATTAAGAATGTTGTTTTTTCGGGCCCGGCTTAATATTCTTACTTTTCTGCCGATTTTAGCCTAAAAATATTCTTGTATTATTCTTGAACTATAATTGAAAAAGAAAGAATTTATCATATTCTATTTGCGGTTTGCTTATTTATTTATTTCTTTATATATTTCTTTATTTATTTATTGCTGTATACTATAGATATGTATTTCATGTACCGTTCATCGAACTGTTATCAGCATAGCCTAGGCCTGCTCCAGGCGTTCGGGCAGTGGAATACGGCGCGAAGGAAGGGAGCGAGAAATAAATAAGGAGGAAAAGAGAGAGAGGCTCTCACCCCCACCCCACCCCCTCGTTATACCACACGTGTTCATGATTTTAAAACTCTCATACTGGACTTGAGTGTCCTGTGGTGCATTAAGAGACTTTGACTGCAGGTAGGGGAACACTTGCAAACTCATGCTCTAGTGGTAAGTGCAGTTGTAATGTCTGATGGGACCGATGGACAGTTCCATCGTATCAACTGCTAAAGGATGGAGCAGGCGGTAAGATAGCCTTAACAGAAAGTACATACATGCACTAGAGCCTGCAATTAAGCTATCCATTCCGACTGAAGAGCGAAGCATGCCGCGAGACAAGGCGCAAGCGAGAGGGACCGGTGAGAGAAATGTTTCCAGCGATGTAACATTAGTGCTAGCAACTGAGTTTCAGTGCACTCAGTCGAGTGGGCCCTTGATTACAACTCCCTGTTCTTTTAATTTACTACCATTACGGTGCCTGTTGACACGTTAACTAAGCACAGGGGTTTGGTTAGCAAATGTTTTCCATTCCATGCTTACTGCTGTAAAAAAAGTGAATTCAAAATAAAAATCCAACAAGGACCACACTACCTTGCCCTTTATGAGAAAATAGACCCACCATGTATATAAGATTCTGTGAGATGTAAGTAGGGACGTTAAAGGCCTGAAGGGGCTCTGTCAAGACAGTCTAGTCAATTTTGATTTATTTTCAGTTACTTGTAGACAACACAATCAAAACAATTAAATACGTTTCCTGAGCATCATATTAACAGAGATATACTTAAACCTTCGAAAAACGTTAAGGTTGAACTGGTTTGAAAAATCTCAATTGTAATCCTTTTTACTCGTCGCCAATTTTGCCCAAACATAGTCGAACCTTGTGATGCATATGAAAGCTCAGACAAGGCCAGCTCATTTAGTGTAGGGAGAGAGGGAAGAATCAAACTTTACACTTTTATAAAGGGACTTGGTGCCCTAATGTTCGTGAGGTTTTACGAAATCATATGGCCAACATTCTAAAGTCGTCGGCAGTTTTTTTTTATTGTCTACTTTAAGATCCAATTTTTGCTAATTTATTTTTTTAATTAGGTGTTTTAGAGCCTGCGGGCAAGTTCTACTTGCATTGACATATTAGAAGTCATGCCAATTTTGTAATGTTCCAACCCACCTGCACACACCAAAAAGCATGGTCAATAGATCACTGATCGAGATCACCCATGGTTCGTGAATCTCTGGCAAAGAAAAAGACCTAAAACGTTTAACATTTGCATGAGATAAAAGGTAATGTAATTTGTGTCAATCAGGATAAACATAAATTAATATTTTGCGGGCCTTAATAAGTCTTGCACAATAGATTATTGTCTTTTGGGCTAGTTATTGGTCATTCTGGCTAATTAGGTAATTGGTTCTTAGTTTAGGTTCTTTATTGATATGAAGGAGATTTAATTGTTGGTTAATAGGAAAAAAATAAACTCGGGTTTGGACCTGAAATAACAATTTTTTATTTACAGCTATAGTAAAGCACAGTCCTTACAAACTTGATTCCAGAGTGTACATATGTATATTGAAACTCGGAGTTTTTTCTTATAGATTTTCATTCTCAAATTAACTCCTTATTAAAATGTTTATCATATTTTAACTGTTACTCACATAAAAAAACCTTTTTTATCTTGGCTGGTTAAAAAGGGTCATGCTCTTAAATTTTGGAGTATTAAAATGGCAAATTTCCTGCCAGCTCGGTCTAATATATGTGGGAGTGCTAGGGTAACCCTAGCTCCAGGGTTACCCTCCCTCCTTGTAGTAGTAGTACCTGAATAAACAGCAAATTAACCAAGTGAGGCACTAAACTCAATCCTGATTGTAAATATCCCGTGCATAGCCTGGAAGCGAATTTAACCGGTACTTTTCTGCATGTATGGGAGCCACTGAAAGCTCAAGGTAACAAGTCTGTCATGATGTTTTGTTTGAAGGACCGAGTCCCAATTTACATTGCTGGAAGGGGCTATTCTTTTTCAGTAATTCACCGCACAGCTTTTTTCGGAGTTTTTGGATGAACTTGGCTATTATTAAAGTAACCGGGTGCTCGTCGGAAAATTTCGAGAACGCCCCTAAAAGGTACCAGAATCTTGTTTTATGGGCGTGTCCCAAATTCATTTCCACTCCTAAGAGGTACAAATTCAACAACAACAATTATATAACTGGCACTGTAAATTTTAATAGTAATAAAGATAACTTTCGAACACTTTCTCCTCAAGGACGTTTTGAAAGTATTGTCATAAATCTTTATCCTAATAACTGTGGTAGCTATCATTTTAGGTTTTTGCACCCTAAGCGGTACCAATCCACAAATTTAAACCCCTAAAAGGTACGACGAGCACCCCAGTCGCTTTCATAGGGGACTTCTCCCGGGGGGTGCCACCAAACCGACCTAAACTTCAGAACAGAAACTGTACCAAGACGTTTTTATAGGCTGCAATAACGAGACATTAAGAGCGAATGCACAGAAAAATCGAGCAAACCGTGGCCACAGCTCAAAACCTAACCTACCCTCATTTTAAGTCTGTAATAAGGTTTTAATGAGTTTATAACACTGCTGAGGTTTAAATTTCAAAATGCGGCCGAACTTGGGAATTATTTGAGATTTTCGATTTCAACGGTTTGCGGGCCTAAAATTAGCCGCCGAACACGGCAATATAGCCTGGCGACAGAGATGAGCTGACTTTCATAAACGAGCGAATATATTGGCAATCTTCCACTTAAATCTCAAAAAACAGATATTAACAATTTCTAAACAGCACATTTTTTTAGATTTAGAGAATAAAATATCGACGAACGAGCACAATTTTGAAACGTAATTTGCATAATGCTTATAAATACAACAATTTACCGCTAAAACCAAAATCGAATTTTCTATATGGGGGAATTCTCCAAATCACCCCAAATCCCGCTTACTACCCAATAAGATATAGTACTTCAACATTATCTGAAAGTTAGTCTGGTGTTCTTGCGAACGCTTGTAAAATAGATTGATTATTTTGAGGTTATTTTGCCCCAAACAACCGCTAATTGACCCAAGGGTCAGTTGACACGTGCACGTCACCTTAGTTTTATGCATCGATTTGAGCTCGTTAAAAGGGAGAAACTAACAAGATTCTTTTAATATGTACCTGTTTTACTGAAATACACGCAATCTTCAAAAGGAGAGGCCGTTCAATGGGTAATTTCTGTTCTTGAGATCTTGTAGATTGTACCATGGCGTCTGCGAGTGGACCTGAGTCTAGGTCTGTTTTCCCGTTACTGCGAAATCAGAATAATATCATGAAATAATTCTCGCTCGAACCTTCGTAAATGAATCAGCTTTGCAGTGCCTTACCTGAGATAAAAAGTGGCCCGAATAGGAAAACATTCTAGCGCTATTTGGATCCTTTGCAGCACGTAGTGTATTTGCTAAGCGGCAATGGTATCAATGACTTTTAATTAGTTACTCACCTCCGATTGCGTGACCAGGCAATTATCGATTGTCGCCTGCGAAAAGAAGTGCACGGGAAACCAAAGCTTTCGGGATACAGTAAATTCATTTTCCTGTATGACCAGGTGTCCTTTTGCCCTATTTTAAAAGCGATTAACTAAGATGATTAGCAAACATACTGTCCCACTTTTAAAAATGGTACAGTAACTGAATGTTCTGTTCTTCTGATTTTACCCCCAACCCCAGAGTGTTCAGAAGATATATTTGCACTACGCATGAAAGGCAAATGGATTAAATTTTAAGGTTCAAGGCGGTTTTAAGGCATGGGTTACCAGTGGATTAGCCAGACTTGTCATAAGGTGCATTGAACAGAAAATTACAGGCATGATATCTCTGCTATTGTATGTCCATTAAGTGATTTTCCAGCAAACATTATTTTTTGACTTTTTTACCCCAAAAGTTTTTTCCGTGCAATTCTTATCTATGAGATCTAAACTTATTAAATTTCTGTAATTTGTTGTTAAATGCAATTCTGCAAACAACTAAGTATTTAATTTTGCGTAAAAGATACATGAAATTGTACTGTTTAGCTGTAAATCATTAAAAAGAGAAAGCATCATGCTTTCTCTTTTCAAGTCTAGTAGGACTTAAGCAATGGCATTGCTTAAGTCCTAGTAGTTGTTCTCCATGCCCGCTAAGGAGGAAATAGTTTGCTCTTTTCAAGAAATTGTTCTTGCCCATTGCGGTTTCAAACCAAGGATAGCAGCAAGTCTGTCGTGGTCATATACTGCTACTTCAGTGCAAACGAAGCATAGGCGCACAAGTCAGCGCTTGCGTTTAGTCAGGTGCCGAAAATGAAGTGGAAACTTAACCCCAAGGGCGTCCATGTTCGCTCCGGTTCGAAAAGGTACAATCAGTTGTGCAGTAAAAAGTAAAGCGAAAAACCTGCGGGAGCTGGGGAAAGAAAGGCGTCTTATTTTTCTTTTGCTTGTTCTATTTTCGTGACGTGGTACAGGCTACGAAATACTGACAAGCTCAGTATATGTCTTCACCACCGAGAGTCACTTGCCCTTAGCCGGACACGCCCCTCACGTATCATGTTTCGTTCCTAAAGTTATTTTAAAGCACAGAACCAAACCTAATCAGCGGCGGAAGGCAGAAAGGGAGATGAGCAAACGGATGTCACAGCATATTTTGCAAGAAGCTGGTATCCTGGTGCCTATCGGCTCGGGAACGATTGATTACTACTAGAATTAATATCAGGGTCAGAATTTGAGTGCTACAATGGGAGGGAAGGAAGAAAACTGCCGCGCACACTAAACTTTCTCGTCCTGACGGTTTCAAAGAAGGGTGTTGTGGCTGCTATTTAATTTACAGTGTCTGTTGCAGGTGTTGAATTAATCTTACAGTAACTGGAAACGTGGCCACGCCTGCTGAAACTGAGATTGCTTGTAGGATGAACGGCTATAGTTTGGTATATTCACGAGCGCGTTTTGTCCAGTGGACTGAGTGGGTAGTTTTTCTTAACGAAGGGATGGGGTGGGTCAAGTGTGTAGTTCGGGGAACGTTTGCCCTCTTTAGCAGGGGTGGGGTATATTTGTTGATATCAGGAGTTCTGGCCTGGATAGAGTCGTTGTAAAGCTATTTTTGCTTCGGAGTATCGGTTTACCGGACACTGAGCAAGAAAATGTCAATGGTGCCTTTATGGAATAATAATAGAGATTCTCATGGTCTAACAGTGCGAAGATTAGACTTCTGGTAAGGTGGCAACGATCAAGGCCCGCATTATAATTCATGATAATTGAAGGTCATAATGTGGAAAAAGCGACTGAAATGGTGGATGCCATGCAATCCTCTCGGGTGGGGGCGGCGTACCTGGCCTTAACAGTTGCCCCTGCGACAGAAGGCAAGCATGCCCAGATTGTCCACGGGTTGCTAAATGAGACCGTCCCTTTCTTAGTACCCGTTCCCTGTCTTATAATTAGACTCGGGCAAATTTCTCGAGATTGCACCATCATTTTCGGCTTAAAGCTTCCAAAGTCAAACAATAATAGCGCATGTTCGCGACGGTTTTTTAAGTCAGTCAAGTTCTTAAACCAGGCCTTAAACGGCCAGTTTTAAGTGTCGGTAACAGTTAAAAAGGCATACAAGCCTCATGCAAAAGACAGTGGGAAGAAAGTGCACATCGGTGATGGGGGAAAAGGAGTAGCCCACAGTTATTTAGGGGTGGATCTTTCGAAACATTCTTATACTCTTGGACAGATATGCATTGTTTAAAGTTTTAGGCAAACCAGCTGTAAATTTATAGTAACAAACTGTTAAATATACATCAGCAAGATTTTTGCGAATCCTATTTTTCGCTGGAGACTATCGTTTACCGGCTGGTCACGCAATCAAAGGTAACGTACTTTCCCGCGTTTGTTTACTCACCTTTCGCTCAGCAATACACTGCGTTCCACAAAGGATCCAAATTGCGCTAGAAATGTTTTGCTATTCGGGCCACTTTTTATCTCAGGTAAGGCACTGCAAAGCTGATTCACTTACGAAGATTCGAGGGAGAATTATTTCTCGATGTTATTCTGATTTCGCAGTCACGGGAAAACAGACCTAGACTCAGGTCCACTCGCAGACGCCATGGTACAATCTACAAGATCTCAAGAACAGAAATTACCCATTGAACGGCCTCTCCTTTTGAAGATTGCGTGTATTTCAGTAAAACAGGTACATGTTAAAAGAATCTTGTTAGTTTCTCCCTTTTAACGAGCTCAAATCGATGCATAAAACTAAGGTGACGTGCACGTGTCAACTGACCCTTGGGTCAATTAGCGGTTGTTTGGGGCAAAATAACCTCAAAATAATCAATCTATTTTACAAGCGTTCGCAAGAACACCAGACTAACTTTCAGATAATGTTGAAGTACTATATCTTATTGGGTAGTAAGCGGGATTTGGGGTGATTTGGAGAATTCCCCCATATAGAAAATTCGATTTTGGTTTTAGCGGTAAATTGTTGTATTTATAAGCATTATGCAAATTACGTTTCAAAATTGTGCTCGTTCGTCGATATTTTATTCTCTAAATCTAAAAAAATGTGCTGTTTAGAAATTGTTAATATCTGTTTTTTGAGATTTAAGTGGAAGATTGCCAATATATTCGCTCGTTTATGAAAGTCAGCTCATCTCTGTCGCCAGGCTATATTGCCGTGTTCGGCGGCTAATTTTAGGCCCGCAGACCGTTGAAATCGAAAATCTCAAATAATTCCCAAGTTCGGCCGCATTTTGAAATTTAAACCTCAGCAGTGTTATAAACTCATTAAAACCTTATTACAGACTGAAAATGAGGGTAAGTTAGGTTTTGAGCTGTGGCCACGATTTGCCGATTTTGCTCGATTTTTCTGTGCATTCGCTCTTAAGACGGAATCCACTGGGAAATTAATGTAATTTTAATTTTCTGTGGACAAAACCCTTGTACCAGAAAAATTTTAATCATGTCGCATTTTATAAATGTAATAAGTTATATATGAAGTAACTCCACTGAGGCGAAAAGGTTCTTATGGAAGCCCAATAAAACAAACTACAAAAGCTTCAAATATTTCACAAAATAAAATGACGATTTCGCCTTTGTTTTAATTGTCAATTCCTGTGAAATTTGAAATTTATATTCCCGGGCTCCCATAAGAAAGCGATATGACTTAAAATTTTCCTGGTACGAGGTTTTTATCCACTGAAAATTAAACTTACTCAATTTCCTGATGGATACCGTCTTTACATCAGACCTCAGGTCGCCTCCAAAAAAGTAATAACAATAGCGAAAGGCTTTTCAAATTCATGACCCTGGTAAATGTTTCATTTCATCAATCCAGTCGAGGTTTTGATGGTAATGGATCCCATCAACAATGCAAGCCGCCAAGTTCTTTTTCACCAAAGAATATTTCCTTTGACTGACCTTCATTTCAACGACTTGACAAATCTATCACCGCTTCAGCTAATACGTATTTGATGTCAAATCGTTCTTTTGTGGCAGAACACCTTTGCCCAAATCTCACGTAGGATGATTCTTGGTGAAGGTAAAACAACAAGAGAAAAAAGTCTATTTTCTTTTAATATTGAAAACCCTCCTTATCGTTTTAGTTACTTTATGATATTTTAAAAAAGTTTCTACCCTTAGCTTATTATGCCGTCTACAATGCCAATCATGTAGCCTGCGTAACATGGCGTTTTTGTCGGGAATAATACTCCGTCCAATTTCCTGGCGGTTTCTTCGCCCTCGTCCGCCTTTACTAGTTTTCGCGCCCATCCAAACCGCCATGCTACGCAGGTTACCATTCATGAAATACAGGGGGCCAGTGACATAACCCGAAATGGCGGCCCTTTTCAGATTTTTCACTATATATATTTTTCCTTTTCCCCCAAAAATTTAACGTGTTACATAATAAGTACACTTTTCAACAGCTTATTTTGAAAAAGGAGGCTCTGAAAGCATACAATATTACATTTTAATAGATTTAAATTTACAGCACACCTTTGTGTTAATACTTGTAAATCTCCTCATGGCATCCGCTGCCGATTTACAGAAAATCGCAGCAAATATGTCATGCAAAGAGCCAAACAGCTACTAACTTGCATTATAAGCCACTTGCACATCTCCCATAGTGCACCTTATTTGCCCCCCAATAAAATTTGGCATAAGAATTATTTTCAATTTCTCTTGGGAAGGTGGTAATGAGAAACAAAGGCTATGCAAAATTTTGGGGGGCAAATAAAGTGCATTATGGAAGATGGTAAGTGGCGTATACAACAAATGTGTCCAAAGAAAATTGATAACAATTATCCAGTCTTAAAAAGAGTACTATCAGTGGCGTTTTAGTTCTCATTTTCAGTTTTTAACAATAACTTTCCTCTTTTGTATTTTTGTGTCTTTGTCGCTCTTTTTCTAACTCCATTTTCAGTCTTTGATTCTCTTTTCTTACTTCTGCGTTTTGTGCTCTTTCTTGGTTCAGTTGTGTCTTCATATCTTCCCTTTCTGTTTATAAAACAGAAAACACAAACATTAACATAAATTCTTCTGAATCAAAACGTATGACAAAGGCAGTAAGGTCACGTGCGTAAGGATGGATGGGATAAAAGCATAGCCTGACTGTTTAACCCAAAAAATGAGTCTGTTTCAATAAGTAAGTAGGATGGGGAACTTTTCTACGTTTCGCCAGCAAGATGTTGAAGAAAAGTTACTGCATTAATTGTTCAAATAGATCAAAGAGTTTAAAATGCGGCTGCAAGAGGAGATTCTTTCCTTTTCTTCACTGTTTTTCTTCTTTTCTAATAGTAATTTTTGTCTATAAAACGGTTCTTATTTTAGACTTTTTCCCGTGGCACCACCCTTTTTATCAGTTTCACAACTTCTAGTGGCAATAAAATGATTTAGAAGCATTTCAAGCCTTTTCATGCCCAGTACCCCCTAGTTTGTTCAAATTTATACGTTTTCCCTTCCTCCGGTTACAGCATGAATTGACTTAAGCAGCCTTGATTCTTTTATCATTTCCAGTACCTCCAAGGAGAAATATAATTTGAAATACCAAAATAACTGAAATAAACCTTGCAATATACCAAAAATTATACTAAAACTTATGTAAAATACCAAAATTAAGAAAAACACGGTATACTTTATACCCAAAAATGGTCGTGAGGGAATACTTTATATCCAATTTCAAGAATAAAAGTACTGTATACCTGAAATTAAATACCCCAATATACTGTATACCCAAAAACCCTGCCCGATCCTGGTGAGAGTATTTCTAAACGTTGGACAACTCCTAAAACAGAGGTGGTTGTAGGGCATTCGCACAGTAGCAAGCTTAAGGCCCCGTCCACACGAAGACGATTGTCAACGCAAACGCTAGTAAACGCAAACTTTTTTATGCGTTTAGGCCTTCCGTCCACACGAAGACGATGAAAACGCTCACCGTAAACGCATAAATTCGAAAACGCTCTCCAAAGTGGATAAATTTGAAAACGCCGTTTATGCGTCTTCGTGTGGACGGCCGTAAACGTATATTTTCGTAAACGCTGTGAAAACGCTGACGTCAGATGTCAGCGCCAGTCTCTTTTATCGAGTGCCTTTCCAAGATGGCGTACACACGAGTGTTGAGCTGTGTCATGCTTGCGCTTATTTCAAGCATAATTGCGAGCATTCAATTGAATCATGCAATAATCGATATACAGGAAAACTACAAAAGAAGAAGACTAAACCTCTCAAGATTGTTATCCACAACTACAAGCACTTTTACGCGAGTAAAACGACTTAGATGCAGACGTGAGAGCAAAGAGAGAAGATTCTGGACCAGACCAGGTCGTACAAGCGCCTGGTGGAACAACTTTGCCGATCAAGTGGTGAGACCAGAAGAGTGGAAAGAGAACTTTCGAATGATCAGAGACTCGCTATATAATCTAGCTGAAGAACTGAGACTATGACATCGTTTTATGCGTTTACGAGCGTTTTCGTCTTCGTGTGGACGGGGTCTAAGCAAATACTATGGCGACAAAAGAGACCGTTAACAACAATAGGTTTGAATTAGCAAAACAACAACTTAATTTGCACGTGCATCACGCTTTTTTGTCCGTGGCCGTTGTTGCCCGACTATGGCTTGAAATGTGTCATGTTTTATAGGGGAAGTGAACAGAAGACCATTATTTTTTTTTTCTTTTTTTTTAGCTTAAAAACTAGTCCTTTAGAATTTATTTCCAGAGAAATCGCCATCCTTTGAAATATTGAACGAGGTGGAATAAAGGCGATGTGGCTGTCGATACATTCTCACATGCTGGTGTGGTGCAAATTAAATATTACCTGCAGTAGACTTTGGCGAGCTTTAACTAAGGGCCTGTTTACATGGAGGTGGGGGACCTCAGGTAGGTGAGGTAACCCGCTTAGGTGGGGTAACCCGCCTGTCCATATAATCTCTCATTTTCATTTGATCACGTTTACATGATAGGTGGGGTGACCCGCCAAGGCGGGTAGCCCGGTCTACCAGACCGGGTTACCCTCTCAGCCGGGGTCACAATTTGTCATGTAAACGTTTCCCGCCTGGCCGGGGTCGGATTCGTGATACATCAAATTCGCGCAAAATTCACTTTCGCGGTGTCTTTGAATTATGATTAAAGTTAACAATAGAAAGCTATTGCACTGACGGGTTGCAGCAAGAGCAACAAGTGAGTGAAAAAGTGCATTAATCGCCAAAACTCGTGGTTTGCCAGCATTTTTCTTGTTTACGTGCTTAGCGACCATTCAATAATCTTGAGAAAGTGCACCCCGGGAAGGCGGGGTTGGAAGATTGCATGTAAAGGCGGGTTATTTTTTTACCTCACCTAAGCGGGTTACCTCACCTACCTGGGGTCCCCCACCTCCATGTAAACAGGCCCTAATTCTTGAGTAGGAACCATTATTCGGAAAAAAGTTAGTTTATAATGTTTTTTTTTTTCGTCCACTTCGTTACTACGTTATGCAAATTGACAAAAATTGACCAAAATTGCTTTCAAAGATGGGAATAAGCAAGAGTGCACCTCGACTGAAACGTAATTTTACCTTTTTAAATTTAGCCAAGGCTAAAAGCGAAGCTCTCGATAGTATTTATAGTTTCTTCAAACAAAATATAAAATCGTGTAATGCTAAGCGGCGAAGGCAACGCCGCAGAACGGGGAAAAACAACAATTCTCGGTTTTCACATGACGTCACTAAAATTCAAACTAAGAAACTATCGATTCTTCAGAGTTTCTGAGTTTCATGAAGTATTACAGCACCTAAACACCTTTATTTAAAGAGAGTTTTGGTTCGAAAGGGTTCTTCGTTTTGCGATAGAGGACGTTTGAATTTCTAGGCTTTTGCGTGACGCGGCATTTAGCTGGCGGCCACAACGGCTGTTATGTGGGTTACAAACATTACCAATTTTGGGAGATTTTGCTGTCTAAACATTCCTTGTCTCAGAATAAATATCACTTTAATATTTTATGAGTTTTTCAAGCGATGAATTAACGCATTAGTACGAAAACTCAAAAACAGATGTTTCTGTTGGTTTCCGGCGGCCATATTTGTGCCCCGCAAAGGGACACAAACATGGCGTCTCCATACAAAGCTTTCTAAATTTTGGTAAAACGTTTTTCCTAATATCTCACATATGAAATATCGCACAGACCTGATTCTTGGCGAGGCCTTTTGCTTATTTATCTTCTTCTATTTCCTAGATTCGGGACTTTCTGTATTGAATGGTTTGCAATTTTATTTTTGATTGCGTGACAGTGAAAACCGAGAATAGGTCTGTGCTGCACGTGCAGCACACTTTTTTTGTACATTTCTTTGCCGTTGTTTTGCACGACTACACCGTGAAACTTCCAGAAACTTCTTAGTTACAAGTTTTATGGGCGAGATTTCGTATACGTGTTCTTGTTCACTTTTTTTCACTGCCGCTCATTTTCACCTTGCATTGGTGGCCGCTAGCATTTCTCATTTTGTCACCGCCGCAACAAAATTTTCATGTTGTTCTTCCAACAAAAAAATGTCTCCTTTGTTTTTTATATCTCGCTCTAGATCTCTGTCGCCCTTTAATTTCTCGTTGAGCTTCGCTGGCCTGCCGGCTACTTTCTCTTTTTCTCTGTCTTTCTCCTGCTCTAAATTTCAAATTTGTGGACATGACAATTAATCTGAGCTACATTCTTTAGACAACACGGATACAGAAACAATTTCCGCTTTCCGTTTTCGTCTTTATTGACTCTTTACCTCTGCTTTACAAGACGCCAGTGGCTATGCGATTTCCCGCCAAAATAACCTCGAGTTGC